ATTCTTTCACATCTAGATAAGAAATGTTACTCTTTGTTGTTTCAACTTCTATATGAAAAAATAATGTAATAATAAGAAGCACAGGCGAGATATAACCATGAGAGAAGAAGCAGGTTGTATGACATACTCGTTTAAGCATCATTTAGTGAAAAGACAACATTTATCTTAATATTTTGTTATGAATGATCCCCAAATGATGGATTATTTCTATATCTAAGTCGCCGATATACTGCACGAATTCAGAGTGCTTTTTCAGAGTTATCTGGCGAGCGAAGCATCCCGAGTATTTTCGGACCTATCGAATACGTTTTTGTACAGTCATACAGATTTTACCTGTTGATTCCTATGCTCTATTTAAGTTGCACAGTTTTTTCAAAGTGACGTTTGTATAACTATATAAAATTTATCCGATAAGCTTAAATACGTCTATAGTATATTTAAAAGGTAACTCAGTAGTAATAGAGTTCCATATATCTGTTTTGTGTGGAAACAACCAAGAAAGGCCTATCGGCCAAATGGAAGATGCCCTCAAATACGTCACAGTTATGTCTTTCACCTGTGCTTAATCTATATTATTTTTTCAAATCTATTCAGACAATCTGTTAATAGCAGATATACATAGTTTTGCAAAGCAAGACCGTTTTAAGCCCAGGACAGAGCCTTCAAATACTAGTCAAGTGGATCAAGGACAGAAAAAGAGCTGAATTATTCTTTATAAACTACTTATTAGTGAAGATTATTGCAGAAACCATTTTTGTTGCAATAATATTGCGTCTATGTATTTCGATGAAATCAGACATACCGTTCACGAATATTTGATCCATCATCATTATCATAAACGCATTTTCCTATGAGATAATCAGTATCACCCACGAATATTTTGAGCGGTAACTTATTAAAAGATTGAAATTCTTGGGGATTTCCTTTAAATATTAATTGGACTTGATTAGGGCCAATACTCCGTTTACGAACACGATACAACGATGCAAGACGACCTAATTTTGAAAAAATAAGTTTGTAAACAGTTTTTAAATTTATTTTAGAATAGTTCTTACCTTGTCGATGCGTGTGAATTTTAACAGCAAATATCCAGATTGGACCACCAATGTATTGACAAGAGAAATTGACTTGATAATCTAAATAAACAAAATTTATTTTTAACATCTTGCATAAAGATTTTAGAAAATAGCAAAAATAATTACGTGAATTTTCAGGAAAATCTAATATATCTGTCCCGGCCAACATGATGCTAGCAGGATAGCTTGTTCTACCAATAAAAATAAATAAAATGCAAAATAATCACATTATCTGTGTTAGATGTAGAAAAAAACACCTGCCTGGTTTTATTCACAAATATCCGTATTCCAGACGTAGCATTTTTTACTATTTTTGAATAATGAATTGTCATAACAAGATACTTGTATGGAGTATTCTTCCCAACGGAAAAACCAATTTCTAACAATACAATGGGGAAATAGTCGAGTTATGCAACTTTATTCTGAATACTACTCACCGCCACAGGTGCCCAACTCTGATTTCCTTCATTCATACCTCGTTTTATAGAGCACATAGAGCTGGCAAATGCCTAAAAGGATTTTTGTCCATGGCTCTTGAAGTCTCGGTTTTTTGCAAAACCAGTTTTTGAGAAATTCTAAAAAATAATCAAAACCTTTCATAATGAAGCATAATTATAGCCCGTACATTTCTGATTAAAATGAGACATCTTCC